TTGAACAAACTGCTGAACTTTGCAAGACTATTCAAACTTTCTTTAATGAATGTGGTCGTTTTTCAAAATAAGTTTATTTTTTTTTCATCATCTCAAATTATATTTGTATATTTAAAGAATGTATTCCTTTCTATTGCTACAATGTATACAATGTATGTAGTAGACCATATGTATATATGTTTGTTTTACTTTGGCAATTTCACAAAATGTTATATTAGGAGAGGACTATCTAAGTTACTGAACTTGTGTCCGATCCTTTTGACTTTGTCAATAAAATATGTTCAATTCAACAAACGAAAAGAGACGTCAATTCTCTGAAGTATTCAATGAATCAACCCCCATAATAAGACATGTGTATCTAGAATGTGGATTTTGTCAACTTGGAAGAATTTTAATGTATTTAAATGTATTTTTCTGTCCTTCCAATACTTTGAATAATTATATACAAAGATAAAGATATGCATCCTCAAATTTACCACACGAGCACAAAGGGCTTCATATTAGATTGCATCTATAAATTTCCTTATTTAACACAAATAATACACGGTTGTGCCGTAGACTGGTTTAAAAAAATTATCGTCTGCTACCTTATCCAAAGTATGAAGGTGGAGCAGATTCAGATAAATGGATATTTTCGGTTGGGTGAACATTTTCAATATAACGACTATATGGCTCTTCGGTATAGAGCGCATTATGCACTGAAAATATTGCTTAGTACTTGAACTGTCTTTAATAACGGGGATGGGATGTCCTCTAACATTTTAAGGGCTTTTTATTTAAATTTTGAAATATTTTATGAATAAAGTTTCCAAAACTCATATCTGCATCTTACGCAATAAAGTGTGGATAAAGGAAAAAGCTCCTAAAAGCTTTTGAATACTAAGGATTAGTAAGTCAAACTCTGCGAGAAAACTCTTTCTTTACTATTTCTTGTCACCATTATTCACAAATTTAAATTACATGTATTATAAATTCATTTTATTTTCATGATCAACTGAAGCACCAATATTATGAGCTGTCTGTGATATTTCGGGTGTAGTTGGAGACCTATAAAATTTGGTTTCATGTCATTTATTTTCTTAAGGATGATATTACAGGATATTTACTAAAAAAATCAATCAAAAAAATAGTAATATTCATCTTCAAAACTTTAATCATAACAAAAAATTAAATTTCGTATAGCTTCCATTATCTTAAGGTAAATGCCAGTTTCCCGAAAATGGTTCTAGTTCTAGAAATATTCTTTTTTAGATAAAATATTGATTGGAAAAAATTATTTCACAACATGAACTACATACCGTACAAGACGAAGTACATATACAATCTTGATTTCTTTAAAGATATAAATTTATTGGGCAGGGTAAATAAAATCTTAATTGGTCCAATATCTACGTATCTGTATTTCAATTTGGGCACAACCAAGTATTTTCGGTGGAACTTCCGAGCAAACTTTACTTATGTTTTAAACGTTTGTATATATCAATGTTTTATTATGTACAGAAATTGACATAGGTAGCATTTATGGTGAGACCCTCATAAGTTGATAAAACCATTTTTTATTTTATTTACACAATAAAATATGTTCACATCACTGCTTTTCTGGGGTAGGTGTTATTTTTTATCATCTTCGCCAGCCAAGGTTTTTTGTTCAGGAACGTATCAGATATCCTTCCCTAGCGTAGATAATTTTTTTTTTATTTGTCATGTCTACATATCCTCAAAACACAAACACTAAACATTTAAGATAAAAGATAAAATTCATTACAAAAGGGTCTTTCTGTTTTAGCATCAAGAAATTCTGTGTATATTGAAACAGCTTGGGAACCTCTTATAATAAGAAGAGACTAAGCCACACTTTTAACAACGTTTAAAATCCACAATAACCTAGATCCCGATTACTTAAAAAACATTGTACCGATGGTTAGAAACACTGTTTCAAATTACAATACTCGAAATTCATTAGATTATTCTTTACCTAAATGCAGGCTTGAATTATACAACAAATCATTTGTCCCTGATACTGTTCGCAAATGGAATTCACTGAGCAACGAAACAAGAGAAATAATTTTAATAGGAAATTTTAGAAAGAAAATTGAGTAATAGTAATGATAAGCCTCCCAAGTATTTTTCATATGGCAGAAGTTATCTGAACATTTTAAGTACAAAATTAAGACACAATTGTTTTTTGAATTATGATCTGCATAGATGTAATATCATAAGGAATCCAAATTGTTCTTGTGGTATGAAAGATGATAGTCATCATTTTTTCTTTGTTTGCAAATATTTTGAACCTATACGCTAAATGATGAATGCATTACTTTTAACTCATAGTGTAAAAATGATTAATGTACATAAATTACTATGGAGAGATGATTCCTAATCTTCGCAAGGAAATGAAAAATATTTGGTCAAAATTTATTCAGGAATCAGGTCGTTTAATTAATACTTAATTGTTTTGTCTCTATTGAAAATATTATATTTTTATAATATCAACACTGTTTTTTTTATCACCACTTTTATTAATTGATAATATGTCCTTATTCATAAACAATTGTTTTTGTTCTTCTATGTACATGTATACATTATTGTAAAACTTTGCAAATATTGTATGGCTTTTGATATTTTATGTATGGGAGAGGACTATCTAAGTTTTGGAACTTGTGTCCAATCCCTTTGACATACTGTCAATAAAATATGTTCAAAACAAAGGAATTTAAATTCGTAAGTTACGAAAACTGAAAATTCCTGACAATCGTCATTAGTGGAGGGTATATGAGTTCGATGATATTTAAAGTAATATGTAGACTCCATATTTTGAGAAGACCCCATATAGATTAAAGGAGATTGATGAAATCGTGGTTTTATTTTTACCTGTTGACCAGGTAATTAATTCAAGAAGATTTACGGCCTTCCGTGTTGTTCAATAAGTTTAAAGAGGGAGAAATGTAGGCCACACTAAGGAAATTCTCTGTTTATGCCACTTCTCGTCTTTAGATTTGAAGCGGACAGGGGGTGTATGTCTGAACAATTAACGGTTTTGAATGTGAAATTGGTATCAAAATTCCGTAAAAATAACAAAAAATGTCTTTATGAAAAGTTTCATATATTCTTCTAAATTCCAGTGCAAATTTTACACGAAGATTTAACACTTTACATCAACCACATTGCGTTGTACATATACTTAGTGTATTTCGTATTAAATTTAGACTTGGATTTTCACCCCACCCCTTTCATAACGCGTCAAACTTTTTTGTGATGTTGTTGTTTCTTTTTTCAAATTAAAACACCTATTCCCAAAACCCGTTTATTATTTTTTGCAATATAATACACTTATGGTAGAATTTTTTTTTTTCAATTTATTCCCCTATTCCTGATAGTAATTTTACTTGTATCAGCTGACTGTTTTTAAAAAGTAGAATTTATTTATTTATTTTTGAAAGAGGCTCTCGTGTATCCGACAATAAAGGAGCGGATCTTATCCCAAAAATAAGCATATTGTTTAAACAAAACAAAATCTAAGTTTGTCCTCAGTCGTACAGGTCAGAGGTCACGTGACTCACTCGATCTCCAATGACCGCATGTAGATGTGGTCAGTGTGTATGTAAGGTCTCTGTTAATTACCGATTGTGATTAATTAGAACATGGGGTTAATTAGAGAAAACTTTCCCCGGTCTACAAGAGAACCCTTTTGTACAAGATATATAAGGAGGGAAGGTTTCTTATAGCAGGTACGGAAAGGAGTTTACAATTTATACAGGTAAGATAAAGAGAATAAAAATGGACATAAATAGACTTCAAATTTAAATTAATAAAGATGATATCAATTTTTAATAAAAGATATGCTTAGATTCGTATAGATATTTTTAGACACATTTTAGCTTAAATCTCTCCATTTTCGATGCTCAAAATTCTGTCTTTCTGTAACAATTCGTATTTATCTGGACGAAATTATTTTTTCTTTAAATTCCACTGCTATAAAATCTTGAATGAAAAACGCTGTTTAAGTCCCTGTACTTAACTTAAGATTATATAAGTTTCCTTTCTTCAAGATTTTTAAAACAGCCGTTGTCCTTAGTAATAGTTTCCAATATTAATCAATATCAATATTAATTAAAATTAATATCTGTAAATTTAGAAGCGCGAGAAAGCCAAATGTTACATTCATAGTTTATAGACTTTATTAAGTTAAATTTAACTACATATAAGTAGTTGTAGACTATTTTGAATTATGCACTTATATTTATTTTAAACGAATAGCAAGTATATTTTTACATTTCATTATAGAAATATGAAATAATTCCTGAAACTCAAATTGTAATTATTTTAAAAAAAAACACTATTCCTATCATGCTTTCTTATCATTTGTTTTTTCTATAAAATGTTAAAATAAATAAATACATGAATATCTTTATTTATGCTATGCAGGCGCGGATTCAGAAATTTTTCAAAGGGGGGGGGGGTGTTTAATAATTTTCAAAAGGGGGGTTGAAGGCGAAAAAAGTTGAAACGTACGTTGTGCACATACATATAGTAAAATAACTCAATAGAATATCGATACAGGGTGGAGTATGGTTTTTGAAAGTGGGACGTTGATCAATCTGGGAAAAAGTGCTTGTATACATTACCATAAAGTTTTTGAAAAAGGCAGGAAAATAAATCTCCGAACCTGAAAATCCTATTTTGTAAAGGGATGGGGTTTTATTTTGTTTTAACAACCGAATTTCTTTATATATAACAACATTAGCCTTTCACCTTACATTTTCTATAGTAAAAACACAACAATAAATTGGAACTTTCTTATTTCTCTTTCTTTTTTGCAAATCCAAAGGGGGGGGGGGGGTGCAACAGCTACATCAGCCTGTAATCAACATTGTTTATTCAAAAGCATAATTAACATATACATTTTACTAATACTTCTTATTTGCTTCTAATTCTAAAAGAAATATAGGGCTAATCGCTTAAAAATCATAGTGGTATATTTTTTTCGTTTTCCTTTCAATTTCCAGAAGCATAATGAAGATCCTGATTTCAATCGTTTGTGTAGCCCTGACGCTTACCTGTGTAACCTGTACCTATCCGGGATATGGAGGAGGCGGTATCCGTTATGGCAGGATCCAGGGAGGTTATATTTCCGGACCCCGGGGCGGCGCCATTGGGGGTTACCGCTACGGAATGGGCGGGGGATACGGTTACCCCAGTCCTTACGGTGGAGGCATGTACGGCGGGGGGATAGGCGGGTATCCATACGGAGGCGGAATGTACGGGGGCGGATATCCGGGTTACGGAGGCGGGATGTACGGGAGCGGACTGTACGGGGGCGGGATGTACGGGGGTGGAATGTACGGGGGCGGATATCCTTATGGCGGAGGGATGTACGGGGGCGGAATGATCGGTGGCGGAATAGGAGGTTATCCGTCGTACGGGGGCGGAATGTACGGGCGTGGCCTGGGCTACAAGAAAAACTACTATTAAACAAGGTTAGTGTCACCGGGAACTTCGGCCGATTCCGGTAAATTCCGGCAGTGAGGTGTAGATAAGATCCCGGGTTATATAATTCTCTGATGGAAAAATGGTATTCGATGTGTGTTAAATTATATCTTTTTTGTCCCCATCAATTTTTTGTTCATCGGAAATTGACGACTTAAAATCTGTTACATATTTAGAAATAAAGTATATTTCTACAGATATAAATTCTCTCCACTTTTGTTTCAACATATCTAAGAAATAAAAGGTATCATTTTAGTACATCTATCGGGATATATGTACGGTTTGGTCACGAACAGACCGAAGGTTGAGAACGCTGATTTACAATGTATAAAGTTCAAACTATGTATTGCTTACAGAATTTTTATGCCCCCGTAAACGAAGTTTCGGGGGTATATAGTTTTTGTCGTGTCTGTCTGTCTGTCTGTCTGTCTGTCTGTCTGTCTGTCTGTCTGTCTGTCTGTCTGTCTCTCTGTTTGTCTGTTTGTCCGCAAAAACTTTAACCTTGCCCATAACTTTTGATTAAGTGGAGCTATGACTTTCATATTTCATATGTGTATTCCTTGTGACAAGACCTTTCTTTGGGTACCACCAAAATTGACCTTTTGACCTTGACCTTGGAGTTTGACCCACTTTTATATGAAAATTTCAAAATTTTATTTTGGCCATATCTTTTGAACTGTAGACACCAGGGCATTTATACTTCACATATGTAATGTTTGTTAAAAGACCTTTCATTGGATACCAACAACCTTGACCCTTTGACCTTGACCTTGTAGATTTCTATACTTGTGAAAAAACTTTAACCTTGGCCATAACTTTTGAACGGTAAGAGATAGGGCTTTCATGCTTCATATATGTAATCCTTGTGTGAAAACCCTTCATTGAATATGAAGATCCTTGACCCTTTGACCTTGACCTTTGAGCTTGACCTACTTTAAAATAGCAAACCTTGACCATAACTTTTAAAGAGTTAGGGCTAGTGCTTTCATACTTTACATATTTGATCCTTATGACAAGACTTTTCATTTGATAACAATAACTTTGACCCTTTGACCTTGACCTTGGAGTTTGACCTACTTTTTAAGAAATTGAACGTTAACCATAACTTCTGAACGGTTAGGGCTAGGGCTTTCATGCTCTACATAAGTATTTTATGTGGCAAGACCTTTCATTTGATACTAATTACATTGACCTTTTGACCTTGACCTTAGAGATTTTTGTACTTATTAAAAACCTTTAACATTAGCTTACTTTCAAATTTCACAATTGTTTTCCAGTGAGAATACCCTACTTTTGGTACCAATTAATTATGTTCCCCAAACGAAGTTGGGGAACATATTGTTTTTACTCTGTTTCTTATTATGTTCCCCAAACGAAGTTGGGGAACATATTGTTTTTACTCTGTTTCTTATTATGTTCCCCAAACGAAGTTGGGGAACAGATTGTTTTTAGTCTGTTTCTTATTATTAAGGTCTTCCGTCTCCAACGGAAGACCTTATTGTTTTCGTTCGGTTTCTTTTTCCCTATTATTATTAAGGTCTTCCGTTTCCAACGGAAGACCTTATTGTTTTCGTTCGGTTTCTTTTTCCCTATTATTATTATTTTTTTTCTTACCGATTTTTGTGCAAGCGAGTTCTCGGAAACGGCTTGGTCGATTTTCACGAAACTTTCAGATCTGATAGATATTGGTCTGAACCTTATTGGAAATTTTTTATAAGTACGTCGTCACTTCCGGTCGTGAGATATGGACGATTTACTGATTTTAAAAGGGTCAGCTTGTCCGGGCAATTACTAAAAAACGAATGAAGATATTGACTTGAGATTTTCAGTGAAGGTAGAGGAAGGATTGCTTAATTGCTTTTTTGAGTCTATATCTTTCCAGCGCAAAAGGCGTTGAAGCTCGCCTGAGCTCATTATAATTATAATATTTCTGACCATCAAATTTTGTGCACGTGATTTCTCGAAGACTACTGCATGGATTTTTATGAAATTTGCAGGAACAATGTGTTGCTATCTGCAGTTACTATATCCTGGAGATTTTTTGGAAATTCCTTTCTGGTGCCAAGTGACGGACAATTATCTGATTTTAAATTGACATTTTGTTCGTGGATAATCTAAAGAACGGTTAAAGGTATCACTGTGGAACTTTCAGGGATTATAGATCGTGATAAGAACTATCGAAGACGCGATCTTTTGTACGTCGTCTCTACTTCCTGTCGTAACGGCATGCAAAGAAAAAAAGTCGAATTTTTCAACTTCTTTGTTTTTCAATATCTTCAAATCATATTTGTATGGTTGATAGAAACCTTTCTCATTAGGCTGAATATATAATTTGTTTGTAAATTGATGAATTCGAACTCGAGATATTAACATTCAAAAGTCTGAAGCGTGATCTTAATGGCGGCGGTCTCTGTCAATTCCGACATTTCGCAATAGGGGTTTACAGAGGCAGCTGAGCGTTTGCTTGAACGAAAGTAACATAAGGAACAATGAAATGTGAAGGGATACTTGGATTGTCACGTCGTAGGTTCGTTGCAATTCGGTGTCAAACTACATTTATTATCCAAGGTCTACTTACAAGTCTTCTTTAATTGGTTTTGGTTGTTTCTCAAAGTAGAAATAGAAAAGAATTGATGTGCAAACGAAGTACAATATCTATATCTTTTGTTTTGCATAACGGTAACACATAGCTTAAATCATAGTTAAAATTAATAGTTTTTCAAGAATGTAGTAGGTAAAAAACGTGACCACTGTTTTCTAATGCACACTTGTGTCATATTAAATCAATAGAAAGGACAGCTGTTACAATAAGAAAATATTTTATTTTTAAAGATAACAATTTTTCAAAGACCGTTTAATTGACCTATATAAACATTTTATTTTCTCAATGCAAGTTATTGAAGATAATAGAATCTTATTTCTAGACCTTCGTAGGGCGATCGAGGCATTTTTTTCGGTGAAACATACCACCTTTTTCATGAAAGTGTAAGTAATCGGCATAGTCAACTTTCGTGATTGAAAATTGAAAAATTACCAATTAATAGCTGTTTCGCTGCTTTAGTGTTATTTGCCTATATACGATATGTTTCATGTGTGTGTTATACTTTCCACACCTCAAAATTTAGGCTAGGCGATAAGAACGCTCTTTTGTTATTTGATTGAAGCTATCTCACCTATTTAAATGAACATTCCAAGAGAAATTCGCTAAGATTTACTCGTTGCGTTTGACGCGAAATTATGAATAGTGACCCTTCTTTCATAATTCCAAGACAGATTAACTGTTGCAGAATTATATGTACATACCAGTGAAGTAAGAGTAGTTGTTCAATAGCGTAATGGATAAGCGTATTGGATTTTCACGCTCGTGACCCGTTTCCATTCCCAATGTGTCCAAAATATGTTTAATCCATTTTCAGCTCGATTTTATGGGTTATTTTTCAGAATCGGACGGAAGACCTACTCGTTGCTCGCAACGAGATCGTTTCTAGTTATTATTATTATTTTTTTTTTCTTACCGATTTTGTGCACGCGATTTCTCAGAAACGGCTGGACCGATTCTCACCAAATTTTCAGATCTGATAGATATTTATCTGAACCTTGTCGGAAATTTTTCGTAAGTACGTCGTCACTTCCGGTCGTGAGATATGGACGATTTACTGATTTTTAGAGGGTCAGCTTGTCCTGAGATCTCCTCCTAAACGACTTAAGATATCGACTTGAGATTTTCAGTGAAGGTAGAGGAAGGATAGTAGGTGTGACATTTTGCATATAGAGCTTTCCAGGTAAGAAGGCATCGACGCTCGCCTGGGATCGAAAAATAGCCTCATACTCATCGCGCAAAAATTGACACGTTTTCTTTTATATCTTTTTACCTGTTAATATTTTGTTAAGACATATTTAATAAAAAATGTGCAATATAGTAAGACCTTTCATTTGATATCAAGTAAACGGAGTTAGTCCTTCAAATTAGGGGCATAGAGGGGCCAAAAGTCTCTCGTCTTTAACTTTTTTGTTTTTCAATATTTTCAAATGATATTAGTATAGTTGATAGAAACATTTCTTATTAGGCTGAATATATAATTCGTTTGTAAATTTATAAATTCAAACTCGAGATATTAACATTCAAAAATCTGAAGCGGAAACTAAATGGCGGCGGTCTCTGTCAACTCCGACATTTCGCAATTGCGGTTAACAGAGGCAGCCGAGCGTTTGCTTGAACGAAAGTAACATAGGGAGCAATGAAATGTGTAGGGATACTTGGATTGTCACGTCGTAAGTTCGTTGCAATTCTGTGTCAAACTACATTCATAATCCAAGGTCTCCTTACAAGTCTTCTTTTATTGGTTTTGGTTGTTTCTCAAAGTAGAAAAAAGAAAAGAATTAATGTGCAAATTAAGTACGCATTGATGATATTATCTAAATCAAAAGGATTTAATCAGAAGAGAAAAGGCATGATTCCATGATGTTTTATCAAAGATCATAGTCAAAGTCATATCTCATCTTATCGAAAATTCGGACGGAAGACCTACTCGTTGCTTGCAACGAGATCGCATCTAGTTATTATGTTCCCCAAACGAAGTTGGGGAACATATTGTTTTTACTCTGTTTCTTATTATTATTATTATTATTATTATTATTCTTTTTTCTTCTTATTTCTTCTCCGGTACTTTTTTGTCCGGAAGTGTTCTCAGAAACTGTTCACCAAACTAAGTTAAAACCTTTTTAGGGTTAGTAGGCATGTTGTGTAGATGTGCCGAACGAAGGTCATTTTGCGCGCATTCGCATGCACGTGCGGGCGCGTGCAATGAGTAAAATGACTGATATATTTAATATTGTTGTAACTTTTATATTTTTTGATAAAATGTTTTGAAACTCATTATATAAAGATATATAAGATGTGTAGAGAAGACGACATGGTCAAATTTGCATGAACTCACGCGCATGCACGTGCGCTTTGCTCTGATTGGCTGAAACAGAAATCTCAA